ACGCTCGAGATGTCCGTCTGCATCCATCAATGTCCCCAGGGTTCATAGAGACTCTTCTCGCCGGTCCTGGAGCCGAGAGGGGTGTTGGTGTCAGGGTATGGGGTCTCCTGCATGGTATTGATGCAACGGAAGTCAAAGAGGCCGGCGACATACCGTCACAAATAAGCATTGAAGATACATACAAAGGACTCGAGACCATTCCCCAAATCACTGAAGAATTGCACAAACTTTCGTGTTCGCTCATCCGGCGAATGAGAATAGATCTCCTTGCTCTAGACCACAATGCAGAGAGGCCGGGAACACAACGGTGGATTGCTCGGCCAAAAACCCTGAGGATTGCAATCAGATCATGGCCGACGAGACAAGGCAGCAATTCTGCGCCAAACTTCAGTCGAATATCCCGATCTGGCCCCTTGCCTAGCTTAGTTTTTGATGCATCGGCTGATGTAGACACGTTGGCCCAGAAGCTGGTTGCGGAAGCTCTCCTGCCTCTTCTGCGACGGCTTCAAACCGATAAAGGGCACAAGTGGAACTTGCAGTTGATTAATATATGTGTTGCAAACATGGCGGTCGGCGCAGGAGATGACAAACAAGGCTCAGGGCGGGACATTTCTGTCATGTTCAGGAGGCAGGATGAGGTGCTTCGTCCGTTTAAGCTGGAGCCACTAACCGATGATGAGGCGCCTTCTGAAGTTAGCACTGGTGATATGGATGGCCTAGGGCCCGGTGTGGACTGGAATGGTTCAGACAATTCTGTTTGTCAAGATTGTGGCCATTCTTTGCCGTCCTTTGCTATGCCAGCGCATTTGAGATACCACGAAATGGGAGAATAGTGTCCATATGACTTTAAGCTGGTGTTTCTCGACTGTCATGACCCAACACAAGCCGCTTGCCATGCCCACGTGTTCCTCGGGTAGTGGACGGCCTGGCCTACTGACTCCGTATTGAAAGAAGCAACCCTGCGGGGTGGCATGTAGAACAATAGGAAGAGGCAAGACCGACGATGGAGCAGTAGGGCCGACGCGGAACAAAGCCGGCCAACCGGTTGTATCATGATGGCATTGAAGCTTTTGCCCTCGTACTCAGCAAACAACGGTGATTGCATACGAGTGACCTTGGACGCAAACGGGGTCACCGTAACAACTCCCGTTCGGCGAGGCCCTGTACGACTTGCGGCGGGCAGGAATGATGGCGAATCAGCAAACCGCAACTTGGAGGGCAGCATCATGGCTGGCTGTTTTCTTTTCATTAGCGAGTTAGCCTGGGATGATTGAAACAGACATGGTCATCCAGGAGATTTCTGGTGTTGTTCACAGGCCTGGGTCTGCTGTACCCCAAGCATGAACACCATCTAATGCCATCTAATCACATAAGCAACATTTCGAAAAGAATGAATCATTCTAGTATGTGCCATGGACACAAAGCACCACGGTTTTACCGCCAAGTCGCCTTCTAGGTTGTTCAAAGACGAGCTCCCCCCGTGTCCCGCGTCTCATGGGAATATACTGATACACGGAACGGCTAGGGGCATCTTGTGCACAAGCAGCATTGTAGCTGTCGACAGTCGACTTTCTCTCGAGTGTGCTATTGACTGAAGAGCTGCCGCCGTTACTGGAGCTTCAAGAAACTGAGGATTCCTTTTGCACAGTTGATGGCTCGCTCGGCCTAGTCAAGGTGACACCACGTCTGAAAGTCCAGTCCAGTCCACCGACTTGGTCTGACACTTGGTATTAGAGCTGGCTGCCAGCTGGCCGGCAGCTGTCAACTATCAAGTCGCCGTAGCAGGTTGACACCAGAAGCTCCTTCTCCTTGTGGAGTTGCTGTAGCTGTTGGTGTTGCCATTCTTTCAGCTTCCGTATTTTGAACCGAATCTGAACAATAGGTAAGAGGTCCTGTCCACTTATAGAAGCAGACTGTTTCGTCTTGGCCTTCTAAACGCCTTTGTTTGGCTCCTGTCTGTGAACTTTTTCTTTATTCACTCCTCTTTCTCAGGCCATAGTTTGTGAAACTTGGAAACACCGTCAAGGTTTGTAAATTTGCTTTCCTTTCCTTTTCTTTCCTAATTCTTTGATACATATAACCGCGCTGCCTCCACAGCTTCTCGAGCGTCCTTCCAAAGCTCTGCAGGCATCCTCGCTTCATAACTCCGACACAATCATCATGGGGCGTGGCCGCGGCAGTGGGCATCAACCAGCTCGCCGACCAGCTGACCTGACTGGAATAATTTCCATCGCCGAAAAAAATGCATTAGTTGCCCTTGTCAGCACCATTACGGATAACATGCAGAAGGATGTGAGCAGCCCATTCGACTCGCTTCCTGTGCGTCCAGTCCTTGGAGATAACGGACAGGGACAGTGGCTTTCGCTCCCTCTGCTGCGCCATCGGGACGACAACAAAGAGAACATTTTGACGGGCAAAACTTTTCGCGGAAATGCTACAGACACGTACTCCACGACGCATACCAAGACTCACCACGTTGTCGAGACGGAAGAGAGCGAAAAGTCCCAACCACTCGGAGAGCTGAAGAAAGAAGCCCTTGTGTTCTTCAGAAAGTGGAAGTCGAACGTCTTGCAGAGGTTCACAGAAATAAACGTCAACGATATGACTGCTGAAACTTCAAGTCCTTATGGTCGGGGCCGCAGTGATCGTGGGGTGTACCGTGCTGCTCGTGGCGGTCGTGGTGGAAGAGGAGGCTCAACAGGTATGGACGGTGTCTATTAATATATCGCATTAAACCTAACTGGGTACTTCCCTTTTTTATTCCTTTACTAATCTGACAATTAAAGGTCCGCATTGTGTCCCGACACGTCATAAAGACTCCAAGTTGGCTGCAAGACACCCTCCGGTTCCCAACACGTTGTGGTCTTTGCACCCGGACAGACGCGAGCTCCTGTTATATATTGCGCTATTGATCCTCCTCTCACTACAGGATTACAAAGCAAACTCTAGGCTTCTTCTTCTTAAGCTTACGTCATCCCTCAATCTATCTTTCGAAACCTATCAGTCGGGAGAAGCTCAAGTGGCTCAGGGGCTGGTGAGAGCGGCCCTTGACGCATTACTAGAAGATGCCGCCAAACCTGATGAAGGAACCAGTTGTCCAAAATTTAAAACGCTGCCTGGAGGTCCCGTCAATGTTACGGCCGTATTGGAATACGTCCGCATTGGTCGGCGCCAGCGTGGCTTGGGGTTGTCAACAATTACAGCAGCGAGTTTATTAGGAACCATGGCTGAAAATGCGGTTCTGATGGGATCCCTTTTCGGTATCAACCCCGCCAAACTACCGAGCAAGATGTTGGTTACATTCGCCAGAGATATCCAAGACTTTGCGTTTGTTCGGCTGTGCAAGGGCCCCTACAATTACGACGACGTCACCATGTTGAAAGTTGCTCATCGCAGACTTCGTGTTCTTGTCGCCATTAGCGGATTTTTGACGGGCTCGAAAGACGTTGCAGAAACTTGGAAATTTCTCAAGAGCCAATCAGAACTATATGCCATCCGGTGGGAACATGCAGCTCTGACGAATCTTGGAAGCGCGCTCGAGACAGTCATCAACAGTACAGCTTGGGAAAGCGCTAAAAAAGAGATTGAATCCAAATCTAGTGAGTCATGAATTGAGATGCAGTAATACAGCAAATTCTAACGGCGTCGCAGTTTTCAAAACTCTCATGACGTCCGCCTGGCCGAAGCCGCTATTACGGATCAGCAAAATCGTGGACAATGCCTGGAGTGTGGGCATGGTTCGGGCAGAAAAAGCGGGCGCCATGCTTGCCGATGCTCTTATGCGGCACAAGTTTCAAGGCGAGCGGCCAGTGTCTTTGATCGGATATAGTCTTGGAGCTCGAGCCATATACGCTTGTCTAATGGTGTTGGCAGAGCGACGTCAGTTTGGCGTTGTAGATTCTGTCGTTATGATAGGGTCACCGTTTCCGGCCGAGAGTCGGGTATGGTTGACTATGAAGAGCGTTGTATCCGGTCGACTAGTTAACGTTTACTCTGAGAACGATTACATCCTTGGATTTTTGTACCGTACATGCAACCTCCAATTTGGCATCGCTGGTCTACAGGAAATTCAAGGGGCCGATGGCGTGGAAAACCACCGTGTAGAGGCGCTACCCCAAGGACACTCGAGTTACTCATCTCTGACTGATCATATACTCCAGAGTATTGGCTGGGAGGATTTTCATGTAGAGGTCATGGACAAGCAAAATCCACCCCGGGGTATACCAAGGACTACTTCACAGAATCCGCCCAACCCGCTTCGCAGGGGCAGGTACCGGCGATAGATTCCAGTTGTGCTGTGGCGTTGCAGATTGCTTTTTCTAAAGAATGATACCGGCTAAGAAGGTAATGCGTTTGGTTTGAGAGACTGTGATGATGCATCATGTCCACAACGGGATGTACATAATGACACAATATTTTAAAAGAGATGGCAGATGTCCTCTGTCAACGAGCAGCATAGCATAGAATCATGGGAGCAAACACTGCAGAGAGCGGCTAGATGCACATTCCATCCACGGGCAAAAGTAGAAGTGATGATTTGATTGATGCTCTAATAGTCAAGCACGCTCCCGCCATGGCTTCACCTCGAAAGTATCATCAGCTGAAAATGATCCATCCACGACGCAACATGAACCAAGTACAAAAACGTCAACAGAAACAGACGGCAATAAATCAGACTCGATGCAATGCCAGCTCCACGCGTGTATATCCCTTTTGCCTAAGTCCCTCGTCCCTTTTTTGCCATTGAAAAACCCGTCCTGTCAATCCTAGGTCAGGTATCAAAACACTCGTCTTGTATGTCCCTTTAGCGTATTCCTTCAGGCGACTTTTGAATAAAGTACAGTACAGTAAGGGTAGATTAATGTACACATTGCAATGTTTATTATATTCCCCCACTCGTGACATGAATCGATGGCACAGTGCCTCACCTCACGCACAAGCTGAAAACGTGAAGAAAAAAAAAAAAAGAAGAGGGGTAAAAGGTTTCGAGCAAAAATTGCTCATGATGGAGGAGTAGTGCCCAGCATGCTGGGAACTTGTTTCCGCATAAAGGCCCTCGTGCCGCGCTGTTCCATCCTCGGGACGCCCTGAATGGCCCGGGGCTCGCGCATCAGCGTTCTGTCGAGACAAGACGGGATGCGTGAGATTACGGAGCGGTATTCGCCGGGGAAGTTGCCCTTTGGCAAGGGGACCGAGGCGGTGCGCCAGATGTGGTCGGATGTGTTGGTGAGGTAGGCGGGTGCCTTGCTGGAGGCTGTACGGGACGCGGCCGCGAGGCTGAATGCAGACACGGATGCGCCGTGGGATTGGCGAATGGTGGAAAGTCGTGAGAGGCCGGAGGAGAGGCCGGGGCGGCCGCGGGCCTTCTTGGCCATGAGGATCTCGTCGAAGAGCCGTATAGAGGGGTCGGTTGCTGCGGTGGTTTCGCGGCTGTGAATGAATTCGTTAAAGGCTGAGAGTGTGTGTCAGTGGTCATGTTGTTGGGTGAATGAAGAAAGGAAAACTAGAGGTTTATGTTACCTTGCGTGTCGCGCATCATGGTGGCGTACTCTTGTTGATCGTACGGCAGGCTCCTTATGAATCCATCCATGTCAAAGGCGTATATTTGCCCGTTGGCCTTTTGCTGCTTGTTTGGACGGCCGAGGTGTTTGCGGTAGGTGTACAACAAGCTGGCTAGGCATCGTACAAATGCCGCTCTTACTCGATCTGGGTGGAAGGCTTCCGGACAGACAAGTGACACTTGTCCCAAGCATCGGCCGTGGGCTACAGTTTTGCAGGAAGTGCATTCGTAGAAGCCATCACCCTCTGATTTGTCATCGCAAATGGTGCAAGATGAGGAAGAATCTTTGGTGTTGAGACTGAAGCAATGACCCTCGACCCAGACAGTTGTCTCGGTGTTTCGCACCGGTTGGATTTGCATGCAGGGCATGATGGTGGAAGCGGCAAGGGTAGACTGGGCGTAGGCAGACGGCGCGTACCCTCCTCCAAATGATGATTCTGAAACAACAGAGAAGCCTGAAATGGAGGCATTGGGCTGATGACCGTTGAGCAGCGGCAGGCTCGGTTTGTGCATGGGCTGGAACTTATCCAATCCGAAAGATGAGCTTCGACGGCCCTTTTCTTCTCCAAAGTGCCCGGACCTCTTCTCTCGCAGAGTAGCGGTCAGGGCAAAGCCAGAGTCGCTGCGAGAGATGGGAGTAGTCGGCATGGGAGGGAAATTGGCAGACGCAGGAGATACGGAGGACTGTGGGCTTGTCTTGGACGATTTGCTCGTACTTGGTCGATGGTCAAGCTTTCCGGTGTCGACTGACGAAACGGTAAACGCATTGAATACTGGCGGGTGGACTTCTTCGGGAGGTGTCCGGTCTGCAAAGCTTGACGAATTCTGTGACACCCACTTGCCCAAGGTCGTTGGTTCCGCCGTGGATGTAAAAACTGAGCCATTCTCTGAAGAGAAGGAGTCGTAGGGGAAGGATTCAATAGCGTACGGCGGAGGTCCGGTAGCGACACCGTATCGAAGAGAGTGAGGAGCGGCAACCTGCAGGAGAGACATCAACTTTCGTCGATGTTGTCTGGGTAGGCGGTGAGGCTGAGAGGTGGCGTCAATCGTGTCTCTGTCCAGGTCAACCAGAACATAGTCGTCATCTGGCAGGTCGATCCGTTCATACCGACGTTCAACGCCAACAATATAGGGGCAGGGGGCTTCGAGAGCGGAGATGAGTCTAGCTGGAAGGACGGGGATGAAGATGCTAGCCCACTGGAGAGGATAAAGGAGGTTCACTAGAGCATGGCAAGCCAGATGCAACATGCTCGTGTGGGAAGATAGAAAGATGATACGAGATTCGGACATGGCGTACTCGAACAATGCAACGACATTTTCGAGAGAAAGACATCGAAACAGCGCATATAGATCAATGGTCCGGGAGCCAGGGAGCTCGTTGGCTCCCTCTTTTCGTGCGTAGAGCCGCAGTTCTCTGACGCCAAGCTCCACTTGCGTTTTCGATCCCAAGGGACTGAAAGCTTCCGTACAAAGGTTAACCACATAACGCTCCAAGGGCTGCCAACGTCCGACTTTGGGGGAGCTGGGGGGCACTCGAAGAACACCCCCATCGGTCATGGGAACAACGATTGACCTAAGCCACTCCTTCCAGAAGCCCATACAGGCCACATCCCTACCAAGAACACCGTATGCTCGAGGAATCCACAGACCGCTCTCGCCCGCCGTAAGCCCTTCGATTTTTGAGGCCGCCCCGTGCCGTAGCGGCCGTAGCATATCCGTCATGAGAGCAATCTTTTCCTCAACCGTGCTTATCTCATCTTCCAGTCTGTCCCGGGCCGGTGATCCAGAGGGTATCGTGGGGAGCTTTGAAAGGAGCTGCGAGAGGTGTGATCGTTCACCCGCCAATCGAACCCCCAAGCTTGCGGCCAACTCTCTCTCCTCGTTGGACATGTGATTCTGCCGCCACTGCTCACATCTTGTTTCCACTTCCTCTGCTCTCTCTGCTGTCAGTGCTGTCCATATAATAACGGTTATGCCGTAAAGCTTGGAATTATCTTCTCCTGTCATTGTAAAGCCGTGCCATGTGGAACGAGGCCGATCATCAGAGGATACAATTTGGATATCATTGGGAAAGGCGAACATGGGTACGTAGTCCGGGAATTTTCCACGTTTGGCAAGTTCCTCTTTGGCGTTCTTTGGTGGGTATCGATCTAACAAAACGGGTTCGAATCGCCGCTTCAATGGGTGCATATCAGGATCGGTATTCAGTGGCTCTGGCTGAGGGATTACGGAGTTGTAGTTGCTCAGTCGTTTTGTGGTGCGAACCGACGCTGGAGCAAGAAGAGTTAGCTGGAAACCCGCAGGATAATCGCGGGTTATAACAGAGTCCCAAACGTTAAACACAAACGGTCGCGTGGGAGAATTAGCTCTCTTACCAGCTCTGCTAGAAGCACCTTGTCTAACAACAGTAGGTCCCTTGCGCACGCTATTCATCTCCCTAAAACTGATCTTGCGTCGAATACTGCCTTTGAGACTCCTCAGCGGGCTCATCCTGCCGCTTGGAAGACCTTCATCCGCGCGAATCCTCTCGGCTCGCGGGTTTACCATTGGCGGACGTGATTGCAACTTGGCTCCCGCAGTAAAGGAAAGGTCCTCGAGGAAGGTTTCTCTCTCGGCGGCAAATTTTAGAAGCGCCTTGTCGAAATCGAAGTCGGGCATGCCCATAAGCCCAGGGCCCGGGGTTGGGCCTTGGATCAGAACCTCGGGAGAAGTTCCATTCGTAGCAGCGGCATTCCCATTGAGAGCTGTAGGCTTGGCAGGTTTTATGGTAGCACTGCTCCTGTTACTGCGAGTGTTGCCATCGAGCTCATCGAGGGTGCTGGCTATCGAGTACCGACCGTCGACTGAGATTTTGGAAAGGCGGCTGGCAGAATTTTGGCGCGAATGACGGGCAGCGGTCTGTTTGTACCCATTCGTGGTGGTGTTGTCAGGCTCTCCATCTTCTGCAATGGTTGACTCGACCGGAAGACTCTTGGTGAGAGTGTTGGTGGCAACAGGGTCGTCATACGATACTGACTCTACACCAGCAATCCAGAAGTAATCTGCCAGGGGGGTTGAAGAGCTGTCCATGACATCTAGATATCGACTCTGCCCGGTAGTCGAGCAAAGACCCACGGCAACTTTGTCTTTTCCTTTTCTGCAACAGAAAATTGTGCTGCTGGGCGGACGTGCCGCCGATAAACCGAAGGCTCAGGCTCTCTCCTCAGGTGCAATGCAGGTTCGAGAGGTATTTGCCGGCCTGGTTCGCGAGGCGCTGGAGCAAATAATGAATCTGGAACATGGGTTAGAGTGATATGGTCCTGTGGACGAGAGGTGGCTGACCGTGTTGCACCATTTGGCAAGGACAAGGGTAAGAGAAGAAGGGGGGGTCAATGTGTGCTCGAATGGCCGAATATTCAAGAAGCAATTAAAAACGTGGAGGCCATAGACGCAAAGACCAAAACGCGCGGAGCCAACGTGGAAATGCACGTACCAGCCGCAGCCCAATTGCTCAGAAAGTCCGTGAAGCGTGCCTCCAAAATTTCTTCGTCAACCCTCGTCAGAGCAGATTCACTCGATAGGTTCGGTTGGTGATTCGCCGCGTTGCGTGGCACCGCACAGGAACAAAATGACGCTGGCGATGGGTGATGGGCGACGGGCCGGGCAAGATGAGAAGCTAAATGGTATTTAAGAACAGAGTAGGATATTAATATGGAGTCGTCTCGTCTCGGCCCAGGTGGATAGGGGGTCCCCAAAGACTTGAAGGACCAAAAACCCAAGGACCCTCTTTGCGATCGTCCAGTGCCGGTGCCGAAGATTGCAACAGCGCAAAGCAATGCCCACGGACTTGGTGATGGAAAAGAGACAAACCAGACGTAAAGCGGAGCGAGGAAAACACACACAGAGCCCACAACTCGACAAACCGTAAAGGTGATGCCGATGCCGATGCCGATGCCTGTCCGACACGTGTTCAGCAGTCGGGGAGATCTAGATGGGGAAAAAAATGTTGACAGTCAACGGTCGACGATTGTCTGACCGTGACTGACGTATGTATAATATTTCCCAGCAAACTCAAATGCCCTCCAGCAATTGCCCTGATGGCATAAACCACAAACGCACGGGCGCAACACACGACGGCAGCACGGCAGCGATACGAGAAAAGGGGGGGTAACCGAAAAGCCAACAAAAATGGAAAATGAAAGATGACGGCAAACTTATAACAGCAGAGCTCGCGTCGTCACAGTGCCAGAAAGATGGAAAAGGATGGTCTGGTGATGGCAACTTTGGCCCGAGTTGGGAGGACAGGAGACGACGACGACGACGACGACGACAACGACATGGACAACAACAGCCGGCCTTTTTGCCCTCTACCGTTTTCTAGGTACCGACCGGGAATGGCCAAGCGTGGCAGCAGCATGGCAAACTCCATCACAATCTACGGCGTCTGGCATGGTTGCGCAATGCTCAACGGAGTGCTGCGATCGCTACCTCGTCGCTCGTCTTGCTCCGATACAGGCGTCGCGTTGCGTGGTGTTTCAAACTGCGAGGTTCGAAATGTTACCAGGGCAGCTGAACAGGTCGTGGGCCGCCCAATAGCAGCGGCACATTCCAACATTCCAACATCGTCCAGTCTCTTCGGCCCATATCAATATTGCAATGCTACTCGGTACAATATCATACAATACGGAGCTCAAAGACGACGCGGTCCTCACGACTGGCCTCTGCCCCATGTCTCCGCCCCATGTCTCTGCCCCATGTCTGGCCCCTGAAGCCAGCTCCGTGGTGCGCTTTCCGAGGCTCCTGCTCCGTACCGTCTCTTCTAGTCCAAAATACCGCTTCGACAGAAAGCCATGAAAATGCTCCGCCAAGACCACTAGGAACCCGTCGAATCCTGGTGTCCCGCCCACCGCCGCATCCCACCAAGGCTCTCAAGAGGCGCAGATGGGGGGCTGTTTAGTCGGTTCACCAGGCAGACACCTTGCCTCAGTCTTTCGACGTATATGTTGCGCCCGTCTTCCTCATCGAGAGCCGAAAGCAGAGAGCGGGTGAAGGGTGGAGGGTGAGAGACCCCAAATGCAGACCAATCTTGGAAGCCACAGAATCCACCCGTCACTGCTAGCAACCCAAAGCCAAAGAGCTAGAGGCCAGATGGCCGAGGTGCTGGCATGGACTAACCAACTATTACGGAGGTATAAATACGTACGTACGGAGTACTGCCTAGGGCTTTTGCGGTCCTACCGCCGCCATTCGTCCAAAGAGGAGAAAGGCAAATTCATGGGGCACCGCCACTCAACGCCAAGCTACCAGCCCTTGTCGAGATGGTCCCTTGTTGGTAGCGCATTCGGGTGGGGAGAGAGGGAGGTTGTTGGCCTTGGTCTCCGTACATGCCATGCGCCCGTCTCGTGGCCTGGCCAAGACGTCATTGGCAAGTTACTAGTACTACTACTGTCGTTGGTGAATTAAAATTCACAATATACTCTGTATCACGGGAGTACTCCGCAACATCCGGCCTTATGAGTCTGTCGGTCACTCAGTCGCCACGATATCGCATTCATTGACCAGTTTCACAATCACAAACATCACGTAGGGAGACGGCAAACAATTTTGCCCAAGGCAGCATGGCTTGTGAGACTGTCTTCACCAGGGTGGTTTCCATGCATTTGCCGCTCGCGCGCCGCTCATGTGTCCGAAAGAATGCTCCAATATGGAGTACGGAGCACGGAGTATGACGGGATGCAACATATAGCACAGTATTATTACTGAACTCCTGTGGGAAAGGCACCGTCACATCTGTCCTCCATTTGCCCGGCTTGTGATTGATACACTACGTACGGAGTAGAGAAAAGGCAAGCGATCAATCGACAGGGGCGCCTAAACTTCACAATCACGTTCCAATGCGAAATACCTTCTTTTCAACACACTCACAACGCCCATGTTGGTTGGGGAAGGTTCAAATCCTGGGACCATCCGTTGCTACCCTCAACTGCTCCCGTATACATACATTGTGATTTGATTGTACGGCTCACATGCATACGGGGACAAACAGGCGCATGCAGTAGAACAAAAGGCCTTGCTACTACCCGCGTCGTATTTTGACATATACCCCTGTCGTTGGGTATCTTGGTCTTTCAGACAGAGCACTGGGGCGGGCCATCTGCTGCATCGATCAGGGGCATGCAGAACGAAATCAACTCATCGTACTCATCTTCTTGTACAATGACAACAAAGTGCAAAAAACGGCTGGCAGATCGATGTGGTCCCGACAGCGAGAATATGGCCCGACCACAGGTTATTAGACTCAGGCCCAAGAATGCAGGAGCAAGCTCATTCATAGCTTACCAAAACATTGAAGCTCACATCTTTCGTTCCTTTCGCTGAAGCCTTGAGCATGCCACCGGCGCTACTGCAAGGTTTTCCGGCCTGCATTTTCACCAGAAGTCCAAACAACGACGGGGCGCCACCTGCAAGGGGTCGAGCCGGGGTCCTAACTTCCGGTACATCGCACAAAATCCTGGCGATCTCGTCTGACGCGACAGATTCGCTTGCAAAGACAAATATGAGCCATTGGCGATGAGCGTCATATTCGTCCGATGCATTTGCTGCATGTCTGCGGAGTATGTACATGAGCCCTATCGAGTGTGGCCTTGGGCCAACAGAGCACGTCGTCACTCTCTCTCCAGGTGATTTTGTGGCCACGTCAGTCTCGACTCTCTTCTCTGTAGGAAGTCTCCAGCTACGGAGTACCAGCTCAGACGTTTGGCCGAGGCAGGAGCTGAGGGAGAGACAAAAGGCTAAAACAAACAAATCGCCAGGACGAATCAAGCGGTATATAATGCCCTTTCCATTCTAGCCGTCCTACCATCCCTCCCCCAGGAAACCCATTTCCGCCATGACAGCATGGCTCAAGCCACGGTGGTAACCATATGGTGGTTCCAATGGAGAACCTAGCTTGTCATAGCGCTCTTCGAGCTAAACTGTTAGTATTGAACGACCGGGAACTGGTACAGCTGAGCCACGCGATGGTGACGCACGATTTGCAACTCGCCGTTCACAAAGAACTGTTTTAGCATCTTGCCCCAAGTTCTAGGTTCGATCCCAATATTTTGACAAGTTGGCCGTGGCCATCAAACGTACGGGCGACTTTCAGCTCTGCACTGGCGACCGATCACATGCCACGTTGGGACTATCGTGGGAGGCAAAAAGTATTGAACCAGATCAGGTACCTGGCTATCGCGCCCAATATTATAACATACTATGGTATTTTAGTGTGTACTCCTTGGTGGGCAATTGTATTCTGCCGCAGACTGTATATCTCCAAGTATCTCAAGGTTGTATATTTCGTACAACCCTGCTGGGACTTGTTGTTGCATATTCGTACACCCTTATTGATAAGGCACACTGACACGAACCAACCAGAGCTCTTACAATAATGAACTATTTCCCAACCTGGCCTGACTGATCCCAACTCCATTCTTTGACTCAGACACTGCTGTGACCAAAAGGGGTGGCACAAGAAGCCACCTCAGGCCCATCCAGGAAACCGGTCAATGTGAGGCATGTTTCATGATTTCTATTTTGTTCACTTGCTTTTTAGGCACAGGGTCAAGACATGCCTGATGCATGTCTGGCATGACTACTCCGTAGGACTGTTGAATACACGCATACGGAAAAAAAAAAAGCAACCAGACTCTTTTGAACTTGGGGTTGACCGGCGCCCAGATTTGCTTCTTTGCGGTTCAGGCTTCAGGTCGAAATACCATCCATCTCCTGGCAAAGTACCATGTACAGCGCAGCGAGAACGCATGATCGAGTGTTTTTGTTTTCCTCTGCCTCCTATTACTCCCCTGCCCCGTACCTCCTTTCTTTCTTCACCCTTTCCTTCATAATCGCCATGTTTTAAGTACCTAGGGGTGCACGTGCACGCATGCCGCTCCTCTCGTGACAATGTATCGTGATGAAAGCTTGGCACACGTACCTTGTTTTGCACGGGCATCACCAAACAACCGCACAGACTGACGGGCGTCTAGAATCAAAGTCCCCGCGAATCTTGACATTTTCGGCATGTGTTCTAGATTTGCCGTAGCCCCGTGTCGGAAGATGCCGACATCACGAGAATGCCTGTAGGAGTGACTATCCCCGTTGAGCTCGTTTCGATGCCGGGCCACGTTTCCTCTTTATAACGCTCTTCCCGAATGTCCAACGTCGTGCTTCATTAGATCAAAGGACCTGATGACGACGGCCGGAATTGATGCCCTCCAGAATCAAATCACAAAGCCCGTCCTTGCAGTTCCTTGCGTCAGGTCCTGGACCGCCAGGCACAAAGCACATGCCGGAAACACCATCGCTCCAGAGCACCCAAAACTCCATGATTGATGCATACTTTCCTTTTACACCCGTCACCCAACCCTCGTTCCCAGCTTCCCCGTCGACAAAAACCCCCTGTTCCCCATCTCACCCCTCCAGCCGATGCCCAAAACACCAAAAACCACCCTCCCATCCGCATCGCCATCCGCACGGCTCTCTTCCTCCCGCTCCTCCTCCTCCACCACAAAACACACCTGTTCCACCTCCCCCGGGTGCAAGACCGGCTTCTCCCCCTCGGCCCAGTTACACCCCTCGCACCGCAGGCCTCGCTCCGCCTCCATGCCCACCTTGTCCAGCTGCATCACGTCCTGGCTGCAATTCTCCAGCTGCGCCTCCAGCACCCACCTCTTCCTGCCGCCCTCGTCCCCCAGCAGCCCTACCTTTGTGCGCACAATCAGGCTGGCCTTGCATATGAACTGGTACAGCTTGCGGAACGTCCTCGTGCGCCCGCTCGTCTCGCTGGCCTCGTAGTAGCTCACCGTCACGGCGAGCACGTGGTTCCCCTCCTCCTTGAGGTCAAACGACACCACCCTCTGCAGGGTCTCGCCCGCGGCCAGGTCCGCCGGCGCGCCGCTCGCCAGGGGCAGCTTGTGCGCGGGCCCGGGGCCGGGCGTCTTCATCTCGGCGTCGATGCGCACGTCGCGGATGCGCTTGCCCGGCGATGACGACGACGAGGCCGTCACGAGGTCGTTGTTCGCGCAGAGCGTGCAGCTAAACGTCTCGCCGACGTAGGCCGACCCAAACGACACGGGGAGGTTGAGGATCGGGCTGAGCAGAAACGGGGCCGGGTTGGTGGACGACGTTTTGTAGGACAGGCTGGACGGGAGGAAGGCCTCCTTGGTAGCTGGGAGGGGTGAGCTCGGGTACTGCGGTACGAGGGCCGGTCGTGACAGTCTAGATGCGTTTTAGCGGTTGGGGCCGGCGGGGATCGAAAAAGGAAGGCGGAAGGGCCGTACCGGAGGACTTTGACGGAGACGGAGTGCGGCTCCTTGACGGGGTCGTGGGATGGGTATCGCTGGTGGCTCATTGTGCTCGATTGGTGCTGCGATGACTTTGGTCGTCGTGGTGGTGGTGAAGGAAGTTGGTGAAGCTTGAAGGAAGCTTGATGGTGGGACACCTGCTTATCGATAGGAACGGAGGCGGCTGGCGACGGCATTTTTGCATATTTTGGGAAGATTGTATGTGATTCGCAAACTTTCCATTTGTTATGCACGAGTATATAGATTTCTTGTTCATTCAAATAGCTACTACAGTTTCTCGCTTCACCTCGCCTCGCTAGGGGCTGCCATTGATGCACGTGCAGCGCGCCTGTACGTGTCTACGTCGTCTACATCTGTCCACAGGGCGGTCAATATGTAGTAGCACGTTGCGCTCACATTTGTCAAATTAACTACCTCTTCGTCTTCTCAAAGCCTCCAATTGTCCAGCACGATGCCACAGTCAGAAAGAACTACCAGTAGCCAGATCAGCAATTCTGAACGGGTTCACAAATTCCTCCAAAAAAATACGAGTGCTTTCCCTATCAGTAACAAGTTTATCCATACACTAACTACATCGTTGGAATGTTTTTATAGCCCTGGTGGAGGGGGAACCTAGGGATCGTTAACGGGCGGTGCCTTTTGTCATCAACGTGTGCACGACTTACAGCACTGTAGCTGCCACCTGGCGGCGATGCTGATGGCGGCGGAGGAGGAGGAGCAGCACTGGGTGGCGGTGGAGGAGGAGCTGCTTCGCTCGGCGGCGGGGGAGGTGGTGATGCTGATGTTGTAGCTACGGCTTGACCTGGAGCACTGGCTGCTTGGGCTTGGGTTGCTTGAGCTCCGTAGTATTGTTGGTACAGGGCAACATAGCTATGATGGTTAATCTGTGACCTCCCAATTTCTTGAGTCATGGAAACTTACTTGGCGTAGCCGCCATACGCAGCATATGGATCAGCACCGCCGTAGTACTGAGCGTATTGAGCGGCATAGTCGGCCGCATTCGTTGCCGGGCTGTTGGCACCGTGAGCTGGACTGTTGGTCGAGGCATTCTGGTCCTGACCATATCGGTCCTGACCATATCCCCCATACGATTGGTTGCTTCGGTCGTGATGACGGTCGTTTCCTCCTCGGTACCGGTCCCCTCCATGCTGGCCACCTCGGTCATTATAACGGGGCGGTCGAGACTTGAACTCCTCATATTGCTCCTTGACATTGGCAACCAGGTCTTCGCAAAGTTCCTTGGCTTTTTCAACCATGCTGGCATCGGGGCCACTGTGGATGGTTAGCAACAACATACATTACATCTCTTGATAAGAAAGTAGCCTGGACATACGCAACGTGCAAGTACATGTCTTCGTCGCTCTCTTGATTGGTAGCACCCTCGAGGTAGCCAGACCCACGGCCTTTGATCTGCACACGGCACCCAGTTTCCTGTTGGATGTGCTTCACATATGACCCGCCGTGGCCAACGATTTGCGCTCGCAAGTTGAACCCCGGAATCGGCTCGAGATCGATAGGGATTCTCTCTTCGGGCCATTTCCGCTGTATAAGGGTTAGTGATCAAAAGTAAACCATCACTGCGGTAGGGTTATTGGCACAATGCTTACCCTTCCTCCATGCTCACGCTCCCGTTCACGCTCAGGTTCCGGCTGCTCCTGGTCTCGTCGGCGGAATCGTCGTTCATCAACCAGTTGCGGCAGTTCTTGCTTGATGAGTTCGTTGATCTTGGCAACAGCTGCCTCGAGGCCTGATTTGGTAGTGCTGGTAATGTGAAGGTAGAGCGGTGGATTCTACATATACATGTTGGCGGACGCGCCACTATGACACCATTTGCGATTACAAAAACTTACAGCAGCGGTGGCCATGGCCTTATTAGGGTAGTAATTGCCCCGGGTAGTGATATCTTGTAAAGGTCAACCTATGTCCAACGGAAAGCAAGTTTAAGTGAGAGGCGATTCGTACCAGCTCCGGTTTCTTCACCAATCTATAATCAAGCGGGAGTCAGTAGAAGAAATGACGAGGGGGTTGCTGGCGAGCTATCATGCCAGGTGTAAGCAGGATATCCCTAATGCAAATTGGCGTCCCAGGTGAATGGGGATTGGCCAGCAATTGGTGAATCTGGAAAAATAAAAAATAAAAATCCTGTGGAAAGAATCAAGTAGATATTTACCTTTTTCTGTGTAGAACTCTTGGTGACTAAGTAGCGATTTCGCAGGTCATTGACCTCGATGTCTTGTATGTAGTCGCCATCAGAGGTGTACATTTCCTTGCTGACAGAATGTGGCTTTGCTTGTCCCGACTGCCCATCTTTAGCATCGGCGGACTGGATTGGCGGTACGTCGACATGTTGAATGCCCTTTCGAGCTTGGAGCGAGGCATTGATTCGAGCGGCGGCAGCAGCTGCAAAGGTCATTAGCACCCGGTGTGATTCCAGGAAAGGCTGTGGGCTATTCGCGATTTTTCAAGCTTAAAGCCTAAAAGTTGAGGGGGTTGTAACATACCGGCTGCTGCTGCTGCATCAACTGGTGACCCTTTCGCGTCCGACGAACCATCATGGCCGAGGGGACTGCGATCTCTGCCTTCGGGGCGGCGGGTTGGTGGAGAGCGCGAGCGGCGATCGAATCTCGAGGCCCTCTTTGGCTCGGGTTCTGTTTGGTCGAACCGTGACCTCTTGACTGTTCGCCGTTCGGAATCCTCCATGGTGGAAATGGCGCGAGAGGTCGAGAATGAAGGACGTCGAACAAGGCGCTCAAAAGTTGATTGGTAAATGGACCGTCTTTTCACACACAGAGCGCGGACGTATGTATGCGAATCAGGACAACACTTCGGTCGGAGCTGGTTGGCCCTTGATGCAAAATAAGATACTCGCGTGGTCGTCACTTGGACTGTGGCAAAGTCAGATGCGTGCACAAGTCGGGCGCAAACCAACTTGCAGGTTGGTCGCGATGGCTGAGGTTGAGTCGCTGCTCTCGGCGCGGCAGAAAATTGTACATGGACCGACTTTAACGAGACAAGATTGGCGGCGGCGGCGGCGCCTGAACGTGGTACTTACCTAAGGCGGTAGGGCAGACACCTGTTATTGACGGCACAATTTGGTGCCAGGGCTGTGCAGATTGTGTACAGTGGGTTGGTTGTAGGTGGCGCAGTGCATGTTCGGGGGCAGAGTCAAGAGTGTACCAAGTACTCCGTACCAAGGAGACATTTGGCCAAATCATTGGTTCATATTCCGTTTAATCCATGTTTTGAGGTAAACAATACGGAGTACCAAAACACACCTCTACACTCAATTTCGGGATCCTGGGGAACATTGGAGCCGCAGCCGATTGGTGTCGTGTTAGAACAAGTCTTGCCGCGGAACGGTTTGGCGTCATGTAATTCATGTTCCGCCCGTGAATGTTGAGAAACACGATTGGCCCCATCAGCTGTACGGGCTTTTTGTCTAGAACACAGCAGCTGTCCGCTCAATCCCATCTCCAGGCCGAGTCAGCTTTTTGAAGTCGTAGGGAGCGTAGGCCTTCAGTAACAGTCGGCCTCTCTTTGATTCCAGATGCATTTGCAGCGAAGATGTCTGGCTACTGCGAGATATGCTGTAATATACTTCAGTATAGTATTTGTGTATTCTTCTCAACAGGCAAATAAGTATTACTTGGTAGACTGTAATCAGTTCCACCGGATGCATGTTCCCCAGGTTGTGGAGGTGTGCCAGCCTGTTTTTTTTTTTTTTTTCACTTTG